TGCTGGCGCTGCCTGGGTGTAGCCAACTCTGAGACACATCATTCATTGTCACCCTTGACCCTGGTTTCCCCCCACCCCCTGGGTGTGTCATAATTCATATTCTCCAATGGGACACATCCAGAGCCAAGAGTCATCAATCATGCTCTCCAGTTAGAATTTTGCACGGCAGAAACTTCGGTCACCTAGAAACTATCTTGGAAAACATTTATGGAATGCACTTTTGGTTTGCAAGCTGCCACACTGCTCCCCCCTCCCTTTCTATTGGCAACTCTAAAAAGACCATAGAAATATTTTATGAGTTGACAGGAACTTTTAGAAAATGCCTGTCTCAGAGTTTTGGTGTTGGAGATTGTTTTCCTGGAACGCTGACAAGGGTCTTCATCGAGGAAAACAACAGAATTTAGTTTTGCTCCTACAGGTTAGTCCTTGACTGATGAACACAACTGAGCCCCACCTTTACGTCACTAAGTGAGAAATTTGTGATGTGAGTTTTGCCCCATTTTACAACTGGTTGTGAAGTGGAATCACTGCAGTTGCTTCGTAACACATTTGTTAAGTGAATCTGGCTTTTCCATTGACTTTGCTCATCCGAAGGACACAAAATGGGATCACATGATCTCTTGGATACTGCGACCGTCATAAATACGAGTCAGTTGTCAACCAGCTGAATGTACATCATGTGATCCCCCATGGGGATGCTGCAATGGTCATAAGTGTGAAAAATGGTCACGAGTCACTTTTTTTCAGTGCCGTTGTAACTTTGAACTGTGAACTGTTGCAAATTGAAGATTGTCAGTGCTTGGAGATACAAATAGACTTTTGTGCTTGAAACAGGGAGGAAATGGAAGTTTAACTTTGGGTTTTGTTGACTGATTGATTCACTTGTTGACATGGAAATGTCAGGTAGTTATTAATTCTATAAAAGCAAAAAGCGGAGACTGTAAGTTTCCTTTGTAAAATTATGGCACTGCACTGGAAAAAGTTGGGCATCACTGTTTCTTTTCTCTTCTAATGGAATAAAAATTCTCCTTAGTTCTAGGGTGTTTGTCTCCTTGATTAATTCAATTCAATTCAGAAGAGAGTTGGAAGGGATTAACAGATTAACAGAGTTGGAAGGGACTTTGTAGGTCCAATCTCTTCTTGAAAGCTTCCAGTGATGAAGCTCCCACAACCTCTGAAGGCAACTTCTGTTCCATTGGTTGACTGTTCTCACTGCAAGAAAATTTACCCTTATTTCCAGGTTGAATCTCTCTTGGAGGTCTTCTAGTCCAACCCCTCCTTGCTCAAGCAGGAGACCTTATACTGTTTGAGACAAATGGTTGTCCAATCTGTTCTTGAAAGCCTCCAGTGATGGTGCACCCATAACTTCTGGAGGCAAGTTGTTCCACTGATTGTTAGGAAAGCCCTCCTTAATTTAGGTTGGATCTCACCTTGATGAAGTTTCCATCTTATTTCTTGTCCTTCTCTTAGGAGCCTTGGGGAAGAGCTTTCTCTTCTCCTTCTCTCTTTTTTCCCTCCCCCCCTTTTCCAATTCTCTTGATTTTCATTTGCATTTCAAATTAAGATAAATGTCACAGCAGCTTAAAATTGCCGAGAAATTGTACGATTCTGTTCCAAAGGAATAGGCATAAAAACAACTCTTGAAGCAACATCAGGCTGGCAAGTCCACCATAACTTTATGCGTGTGGGGGTAGGAGGGAGAGATTCCAACTTTCTTTTTGGAAGGAGAATTTCCTTTTGGGTAGGAAATATGAAGCAAATATGAAAAGAGGGGTGTTGAAGCCAAGTCTTGTCCACCTACCAGTTGCAAATCTGAATATGACTCACGTTGTGTCATTTAAGGTTTGTGGACATTCAGTGAAGCTTGAGTTGATCAGAATAAACTGTTAAGGTAGGAGTGGAGTGTGGAGTGTGGAATGTGGAGAGTGGAATGGAGTGGAGTGGAATCAATTAGAATGGAATGGAATAGAATAGAATGGAGTGGAGTGGAGTGGAGGAGGAGAGGAGAGGAGAGGAGAGGAGAGGAGAGGAGAGGAGAGGGGAAGATATGGAGTGGAAGCAATTGGAATGGAGTGGAGTGGGAGTGGGAGTAGGAGTAGGAGTAGGAGTAGGAGTAGGAGTAGGAGTAGGATAGAGTAGAGTAGAGTAGAGTAGAGTAGAGTAGAATAGAATAGAATAGAATAGAATAGAATAGAATAGAATAGAATAGAATAGAATAGAGGGAAGGGAGAATGGAATGGAATGGAATGGAATGGAATAGAATAGAATAGAATAGAATAGAATAGAATAGAATAGAATAGAATAGAATAGAATAGAATAGAAGATAGGATAGGATAATGTAGGAATAGAATGGAATGGAATGGAATGGAATAGAATAGAATAGAATAGAATAGAATAGAATAGAATAGAATAGAATAGAATAGAATAGAATAGGAATATTTGTTTAGGACCTTGGAAATCTAGTCCAGCCTCCTGCTTAGGCAAGAAGCTCTTTACCATTTCAGACAACTGGCTGTCCAGTCTCTTCTTGAACTCCTCCAGGAATGAAATTTCTCCTTAGTTCTAGGTTGCTTCTCTTCATGATTAGTTTCCATCCATTGCTTCTTGTTTTGCCTTCTATCATTTTCCATTTTTCTGTCTTGAAGACAATGTCATAACAGTAGAAGGTATCCATAACTTTGGGTCTTTTGTTCCTCAACAACTAAGCAATAGCTGCAGTGACTGGTCAATGGGCAATGATCAACCACTCTGAAACTTTAGTAGAAAATATGATTCTAAGAGTTACTGTTGCTTCCCGAGAATTCAGAACAGACATGCAAACACCCAGGATTCTTAGGAGAAGCAACAGCAATAGCACTTAGACTTATATGCCACTTCACAGTGCTTTACAACCCTCTCTAAGCAGTTTACAGAGTCAGCCTCTTGTCCCTCAACAATCTGGGTCCTCATTTTACTGACCTGGGAAGAATGGAAGGCTGAATCAACCTTGAACTGGTCAGGATTGAACTCCTGGCAGTTGGCAGAATTAGTCTGCAATATTGCATTCTAACCTATGCACCACCAACGGCTTCCTTCTTGTTTATCTTCCTTCCTTCCCATCTTCCTCCTTCATTCCTTCCTTCCTTCCCTCCCTCCTTCCTTCCCATCTTCCTCCCTCCCTCTCTCCTTCCTAACAGATGTAACAGATTTAACAGATAATCAGAGTTGGAAGGGACCTTGTAGGTCATCTAGTCCAACCCCCTGCCCAAGCAGGAGACCCTACACCATTTCTGACAAATGGCAGTCCAATCTCTTCTTGAAAGCTTCCAGTGATGAAGCTCCCACAACTTCTGAAGGCAACTTCTGTTCCATGGGTTGATTGTTCCCACTGTCAGAAAGTTTCTCCTTATTTCCAGGTTGAATCTCTCCTTGTCCAATTTCCATCCATTATTCCTTGTCTGGCCTACAGGCGCTTTAGAAAATCGTTTGACCCCTTCCTCTCTGTGGCAGCCCCTCAAATACTGTATATTAGACATATATACTGCTTCACAGTTCTTTTCCAGCCCTCTCTAATCAGCCTGTCGCCTCCCAGCAATCTGGGTCCTCATTTTCCAGACCTCTGAAGGATAGAAGGCTGAGTAAAACTTGAGCTGGTCAGGATAGAACTCCTGGAAGTGGGCAGAGTCAATACCATATTTTTACCACTGGTGGGAAGGTATGGTATTCTATTGGTATATGCAATACCATATTTTTACCACTGCGCCACCATGGCTCTTCCTGAGAAGAAGGCTAAATATAAGTAGTCTTTGACTTACAACCACAATTGGGACCAGAAGTGTAGTTGCTAAGCAAGGCGAATCACATCTAAATTTATGACCTCTTTTGCCCTGATCATTAAGCAAATGGCTGCAATTAGTAAGTGAATCATGCGGTGGTGAAATGAATTTGGCTTCCCTCCACTGACTTCGCTTGTCGGAAGCCCTCTGGGACAGTTGCATGACCTCAGGACACTACAACAGTCATCAGTAAATGCCAAGCACCCCAATTTTGACTCCATAATCACAGGGATGGTGTGATGGACATTAATGCAAGGAGCAGTTGCCAATCACTTTTTTCAGTGCCATTGTAACTTCCAACAGTCGCTAAATGAACGTTTGCAAGTTGAGCACACCCTGCATATTCACCCGTTCCTTTTCAAACTCAAGTTGAGATAGTATGTCTGTCCCATAATTGGGTAGACCAGGTTGCCCTGATAGGCCTGTCTCACCGGAAAAACACTTAATCTCTCCCCTGGTATAGCCGACAAAATGAGCCCATGGCCTAGAGGTTAATACAACTACCTAATATGCAAGTGGACCGGGTTTGAATCCCAGAAGGGTATGGCTAGTTGATGAGAGCTAAATAGCTTGAAATAGATTTATACTAAGGTAAAAGTAAAGGTTCCCCTTGTACCTACATGCTAGTCATTTCCAACTCTAGGGGGCGGTGCTCATCTCCGTTACAAAGCCGAAGAGCCAGTGCTGTCTGAAGACGTCTCTGTGGTCATGTGGCCGGCATGATTAGGTGCTGAAGGTGCACAGAACGCTGTTCCCTTCCCACCAAAATGGTCCCTATTTTTCTACTTGCATTTTTTACATGCTTTCAAACTGCTAGGTTGGCAGAAGCTGGGACAAGAAACGGGAGCTCACTCCATTACGCGGCGCTAGGGATTCGAACCGCCGAACTGCCGACCTTTCTGATCAACGAGCTCAGCATCTTAGCCTCTGAGCCCCTTTTCGATCTATACTAGTATCCCTTTATTTCTTTATCAGTAAATTGTTGAATTTATAACACATCAAGTCGAGATAATATCGATGTTGCTGGTCATAACTGGTTTAAATCAAAGCAAATTAACTCAGATGATAAGCGTATTTGTGATGGCCCCCATCACAATTTAAAAGAAAATAAATCATATCCCATCAGCCAGTTAAACAAACATTCCACAGGGGAACCTTCAATCAAAGCATCCACCACTTACTTACCCAAGAAATCCAGCCCGCTGGTGTCCTTGGTAGAGCTCAAGCAATTCTCCAAGTAAATCCCATCCTTGAAACAATTGTCCTGCTTTTTGGTTAAGCCAAGGATCTCGCTGGGTTGGTCCAATACCTCACCGCTGAAACAAGAGCATGGTGTCTGCATGATGCCACAAGGATGTGAGCTGCTGCTGGTGGCCAAGCAAGTATCCAGCCATTTGCACAACATCTGGCAAGCAGCCTTGCTGGGACTCCTGTTGCCCACCACAAGATATTCTACCGAGAAATCTCTTTCCTGAACCTTGGCCGATTTCCACCTGACCCACCCGCTGTCCACTTTGGAAAGAGTCTGCTTTATCTGGAGGAACTGCTTGTTGGACTGGAGGAAAGCGTAGCGGGTGGAGCTGTCGCAAAGGTTCAGCACGTCATCGAAGCTCTCCATGCCCAGGTACGTCCGCGTCGACTCCAAGAAGGAGTCGAATTGGTAGGTGCGTATCTGCTGCCGGTCGCAAAAACCCAGGGGCTTCGAAACTTTCATGTACAAGGTGTATCTCCGAGGATCGGGGTTTTGGATAATCCAATTGCAATGGGAAGCGTTCAACGGGAAGACGGCCAAAGAGGAGAAGTATCCAAAAAACTTGCCCTTTACCAAAGTGGTGCACGGCGAGGGTCCAAAGTCAAGGGCCACCACGGTCCACGCCAAGAACGGTGGCAACAACCAAAGCAGGTTCAAGGAATATCTATTGCTCCTCCTCATCCTAGTCCCCTGGTCCTCTGGAACTCAAAGCAATGGCCAGGCAAAGTGCAGATCATGGACATAACAGGAGAAAGAGAGAGAGAGAGAGAACTGGCCCCCAGTTCAGCGGCAGATTAATCCAGCCTTCTCACATCTGGATTGAGGCTCTTCCTCGGGGCTCGGACAAAGCAACCTGCAGAAAAGAAGAAGAGAAACCGTGCATTTCATGAATTTCAGAAGGCAGAATGGTGAAAGGCAGCGAGATCCAGAGCTGCCTTGTAAGAACATCTCAAAGGTGTTCACTAGAACGTAGAATTAGGGGGTTGGAAGGGACATCGGTCTTCTCGTCCAACCCTTGGACATAGGGATCATCTACCTTGCATTTCTAGGGAGGAATGGTGGTGGAAGTGGAGACCAGGATAAATTATGAGGAAACTTGGAAGTCATGGCAGAAGTTCCTGGCAGCACTGTATGGCATCTGCTATTCAGAATAACAGAATAATAGAGTTGGAAGGGACCTTGGAGGTCTTCTAGTCCAACCCCTTGCTCGATCAGGAGACCCTACACCATTTCAGACAAATAGTCGTCTAATCTCTTCTTAAAAACCTCCCCCTCTTCTTTGTGGTAACCTCTTCGATATTGGAAGGCAAATTATTCCACAGGTTAATTGTTCTCACTGTCAGGAAATTTCTCCTTAGTTCTAAGTTGGTTCCCTCCTTGATGAGTTTCTATCCATTGTTTCTCGTCCTGCCTTCAGGTGCTTTGGAGAATAGCTTGACTCCCTCTTCTTTGGGGCAGCCCCCTGAGAGATTGGAAGACTGCTATCATGTCACCCCTAGACCTTCTTTTCATTAGACTACTAGACATACCCAGTTCCTGCAACCGTTCTTCATATGTTTTAGCCTCTAGCCTCCTAATCATCTTTGGTGAATGTTTTGGAGCTCAGATTCACCTAAAGAAGAGGTGGCCTTCCAGGGTGCTAAGAATTTGCAATCCTATCCATGGGAAGGACACCAGTTGTGGGATGTTGTCTACTAGGCTAGAAGGGACCTTTGGAAGTAGTCTAACTCCCTGTCCAAGACAATAGACCTTAAAGCATCCCGGTCCAAAGGTTGTCCAGTCTATTTTTGAAAACCTCCAATGATGGAGCACCCACAATTCCAGGAGGCAAGCTATTCCATTGATTAATTGTTCTCATCACCAGGAAATGTATCCTTATTTCTAGGTTGGATCACCCTTCCCCCCCCCCCCCCCCCCCCGCAGGTAGGCTTCGACTTGCAACGATTCATTTAATGACTGTTCAAAGTGACGACGGCATTGAAAAATGTGAATCATGACCATTTTTCCCCCTTACAACCATTGCAGCATCCCCATAGTTGGTCCCATGATTTAAATTCAGATGCTTGACAACTGACTCACATTTACGACGGTTGCAGTGTCTATGTGATCCCGTTTTGCGACCTTCAGACAAGCGAAGTCAAGGGGGAAGCTGGGTTCGCTTCCCAATTTCATTACTCACATATCAATCGCCGTAATTCACTTAACAACGGTGGCAAGAATGGCCATAAAATGGGGCAAAGCTCACTTAGCAATATCCATTTGCAGCACAATTGTGGTCATAAGTTGAGGACTACCTGTATAGATACTAAGGCCATATGGAAGCACCTGCTGATAGTGCAAAGTCACACCTGCTTTAATACATTCCCCTCCCGTCTTTGCTAAGAGCTTAGGACACAACTTCTTCCTATGACATCTTCTTCCTTTAGAAAGTGTTTTTGGTCCTACAAGACAACTCTACCTCCACAAATGCACTTTCACTAAATACCAGCACAGATGCATTTCTGACCTTGCTTGTAGATGAAAAGCTGCGATAAGCGGAACGGTTGGACAATCTCTCTTTGGTACCACCCACGCTGCCATGCACGTCATACCACCCACAATGAGATTTGCATTACACGAGACCTGGAACACAGATACATCATCCTTAACGTTAGAAGACCTGCAGGAGAGTCTAATGTAAGCTTGAGTTGACTAGAATGAGGAAGCACAGATTCACAACAGAGGTACTAATACCACTCTATAAAGCCTTAGTAAGACCACACCTAGAGTACTGCATCCAGTTTTGCTCATCACACTATAAAAAAGATGGAAAAAGTGCAGAGAAGAGCAACCAGGATGATGAGCGGACTGGAGGCTCAAATATGCAATGAATGGTTGCAGGAACTGGGCACGGCTAGTTTAGTGAAGAGAAGGGCCGGGGAAACAAGATAGCATATTCCAATATTTGAGGGGCTGCCCACAGAGAGGAGGGGGTCAAACTATTTTCTAAAGCATTCGAAGGCAAGACAAGAAACAAAGCCAATGCAATCCTAAGTTGCATTAACAGAGGGTTACAATCAAGATCACGTGAGGTACTAATACTACCCTATAAAGCCATAGTAAGACCACACTTAGAGTACTGCATCCAGTTTTGGTCACCACACTATAAAAAAAGAGATGTTGAGACTCTAGAAAGAGTTCAGAGAAGAGCAAACAGGATGATTAGGGGATTGAAGGATGAAACATACGATGAACGGTTACAGGAACTGGGCACAGCTAGTCTAGTAAAGAGAAGGACCAGGGGAGACATGATAGCAGCCTTCCAATATTTGAGGGGCTGCCACAGAGAGGAAGGGGTCAAGCTATTTTCCAAAGCACCTGAAAGCCAGACAAGGAACAATGGATGGAAACTGAACAAGGAGAGATTTAACCTGGAAGTAAGAAGAAATTTTCTCACAGAGAGAACAATCAACCAAGAGAACAGAAGTTGCCTTCAGAAGTTCAGCTTCATTACTGGAGGATTTCAAGAAGAAATTGGACAGCCACCTGTCTTAAATGCTACAGGGTCTCCTGCTTGGGTGGAGGGTTGGACTAGATGACCTACAAGGTTCCTTCCAACCAGGGTTGGGATTCACATTTTTTAGCAACCGGTTCTGGGGGGGTTTAGTTGGTGGGCATGGCTTGATGGTCATGTGACTGGCTGGGTGTGGCCAACTCAAAATCACTCACATCGAGGCACGCATCTTCTTGCCTTGCCTCTCATGACTGTGGGGATGTTGCAACAGTCGTAAGTGTGAAAAGGGTCATAAGTCACTTTTTTCAGTGCTGTTGTAACTTTGAACGGTCACTCCACACAAGCAAAGTACCAGCAAAAGAGGGGAAAAAAACTCCAGAGAGGTTCCAGAGACAGGAAGTCTAGTCCTGCCAAGAATGTAATAAGGGTTAACGGAGAGGCAGTTTCTGTAAGCAACACCAGAATGTTTCCTTCCTTGACTTCCTTACAGGATTAGCCCAGTAATTTCTTCTAACAACCGGTTCTCCAAACTGCTTAGAATGTTAACAACCGGTTCTAGCGACTAGGTGCGAACCTGTAGAATCCCACCCCTGCTTCCAACCCCTTTATTCTCTTCTGATCAAGGAGATTATTCACTAGAAATAAGGAGAAATTTCCTGACGGTTCATTATCAATCTAGGTAACTTCATCAGTAACTTCATCTTTAAAAACGCAGGATAAAATATTTTCCCTAAAAGAGAAATTTAAAAAATCTTAAGAAAGACAGAAACAGCTCCAGCTCCCTGACCCTTGCAGATATTTTGGTGCCCATTAAGAAAGACTGGGCCAGTCTATCCACAAAACAAAAGACCTTCAGCTCCAAGATGATGGGATTATTCTTCAGGACATAATAGGATTAACCCACTACCATTTAGCAGAAGACATAGAGCTCACTACATTGCACAATCTCCTAAGAGTATTTCCTTCATTGCATCACACCCAGCAAACTTCAACCAAACCTGGGAGCTCAGACAACCTATAGAGCCAGCTATGACCGCTACATGGCCCGATGGGAGTCTGACCACAGCCAATAGAATACACGTTCTTGCACAGGAACAGGAAGCTCAAGGCAAAGCCCAAGAGAAGGTATTTTTTTAAAAAACACCCACTCTCAACTCCATGTGGTCAGCTGCCCAGAACCACCCCTGTGGTTTTGCTTCATCATTAAACCATCTTTCCAATCAGCCTCCAGCTTCCATTTTGTCTCCAATGCCTTTCTCCCAGCTTGAAACTGAACCTGGATCATTTCTCCCAATAAGAGAGTGGAGGCCGCTCTCTTTTTATATATTGGGTTAAAGTTAGGGTTGTTGTGGTTCCCCGGCAGCCTGTGCAAATGGCAGCAGAATCGGACAGTGGGGAAGAACGGGGACCAGTCCAGGAGTCTGGGGAGGACTCGGACGAGGGTCCTGCATCCAATGCAGAGATGGGGCCAGAACCATCTGGAAGTTGTATGCTGACTCCGGAGTCTCTGGAGTCTGGCAACAGAGAGGCAGAGGAACAAGGGGAGCCTGTTCCTAGTGCACGTGTGCGCAGAGCTGCTAGAAGGTAAGAGCAGCTGAGACAAAAGGGGCAACTCGGGAGTAAGCCTTGGAGGTGATTGCCCCTCCCCTAAGGTATAAAGAAGGTACACAGGTAGAGAAATCTTTGCAGGAAGCAAAGTTGTTTGCTCTGTTCAGATTAAACCTTGAAGGTCTGTGTGGACTTTGTACTTCGGTGGTTTTTTTTTACAGTTAATTTGGCACTTTATTGTTGGCAGCAGTTCAAAGGAGAGAAAGGTGGGTGCTTATCTCGAGGGACTGTTTTGGGTCTCATTACGGGCTGGGAATGAACATAATTCCCAGTGTTGAAATAAAACAAGAGTTGTTTGGACTAAGTGTGTGCTTAATTATGGTCTCAGGAAGCCTTGGTCAGAATAAGGGTTAGGATTGACCAGAATAAACAAGTGTTTATTTTTTTTTCTGCAGAGTGCCATCCTTTCCCATGACAAACCAGCCCCTATCCCATAAGTGGACCTATAAGCCTGTCAACAGCTGACTTCCTAGGAGAACAAGGCTGGTTGGATCCAGCATCCAAAGCCAGGCAGAAGGACTGAGCATGCATTCTTGGTTTGCTTCCTGTAGCTTTCTCACCCTTGTAGAAAGTTAGCACC